GGGAGGGGAGCTGTTGCATTGTAAATTTTGGTCAATGACATGAGACAAAGTATATGTGAACTGCTGTATGAAAAGTGAATTTCCTCTGTAAATCTTCACCCAAATCAAAATAAAATTTAAAAAAAAAGATACTGCCTCAGAAATCCAAGGAGGGGTCGCTATGAGTCCGAACCAACTCGTCAACAGTGAGTTTGGTTTTTTGGTTTAGTGATCTGTGAAAGAGCTTGGTGATCTGCCTCGATTATCTTTACAACCAAGAAAATCCTAAACAGCAGTTCTACTCAGATCTCTACACATGGGTCACCATGAGTGGGAATTAACTCAACAGCAATGGGTTTGGCTTTTTGGTTTGTTTACTTTTACTAGTTACCAGTACCTAGGGTTATCAACGTAACTAGACAGAGCCCCCATGGGGCCGTGCATTTTGCAGTCTTACAGGTATTTTCACATCATTTTGTAAACTTGTGGATGTTTTCTTAATTATTTATAACCCTTCACAGCATTTGTACCCACCTTTTGTAGGTATTTTCTTAATTATTTATAATCCCCTGTCAATATCTGTCTTCCTCACCAAATTGTAAGTTTCAAAAGGCCAGGAAACGTATTTGTTTTCTTGCCTGACATAATAAAGGCTTCCTGTCTCTGGCTGACTGAGACGTGCTAGAAGAAAAGGACAGTCAGAGTGCAGAATGGAGAGCCCAGAGCCACCCCTGGAATAGCAGGAAAGGCTTCACAGCCTGGGCATTAAGCAATGGGTCTACGCTGAGCCCTGAAGGTCAGTTGGAATTTTAGGAGGACAAGAAGGGAAGGCATATGTACCTTTAGGAAAGCATGAAAGATATGGAAAACCATGACATGTTTAGAAGTGCAAATTAATTAGGATGGATAAGGAGGATCAGCTGGAGGTATGGCTGGAGAGGTTGGCATGCAGCATATCATGAGGAGTTTTAAACACCAAGTTAAGGAGTTTGGCATCTGTCCTTTGGGGAATGGGAAGCCAGACAAAGTTTGTAAGCAAAAGGGGGCTAGTCAGAGCTGACATCTAGCCCCTCATGGGTCCCAGAGCCAGAGCTGTGTGCCCAGCCCAGCTCCCCTGTAATCCACACCTGCTCTCCTATTCTTGCCCAGACACAGTACCCAGGCCCGCAGTACAAGTGTTCATCGCTGCAGCAAGAGATGCCCAGGCCCCCAAGACATGCCAGGTCTTCCTTTCCTGCTGGGCCCCCAACATCACTGATGTCACCTATAGCTGGCGACGCGAGGGGACCATTGACTTTGGTCTCGAGCCACATGACCTATTTGCAAATGGACAAGTGCTGAGAGTTTCACTGGGGCCAGGAGACAAGAGTGTGGCCTATTCTTGCATTGTCTCCAACCCCATCAGCTGGGACTTGGCCACAGTCACCCCCTGGGAAAGCTGCCACCGTGAGGCAGGTATGCCCAATGGTCAGGGGTAAGCTGGGGGGAGAGGGGATCACAAATCATCAATTCTACCTCTGATCCTGCCACCACTGTGCCCAGCCCCAGGGAAAACCTCTCACAAAGATGTGCTGCTGCTGGTGATGGTGCCGGTCTCACTGCTCCTGATTCTGGCTGGTCTTCTCTCTGCCTGGCACTGTGGTCCCTGCTCAGGTAGGAGTCCTGCAGGTACAGGAGGTGGGTAGAGGGGTGCATCCACTAGAGAGGAGAGCGGATGTGCACCTCTTGCTAACGAGATGATCTGTCCTTCCTTATCTCTCCCACCTCATCTCTTCACCCTCTGCATCTCTCACTTTGGCTTCTAGCCAGACTGAACTACTGAGGTTTCTTTTGCAGCTGCAGATGAATGACTCTCTCACATGCATTGCTAGGCCTTTGCACATCTTATTCTCTTTATCTGGAAAACATTTTCCAGGATTTCCCACCCAACTCCACTTCTTCTCCTGTTCCATCTTCAAGGTGTGCCAGGAAGCCTCCCCTGACATTCTTCCCCACCTCCAGGCTAGGTTAATGTCTTCCTTTAATTCCCATTGCCTCAGGGAGCTCTGGTAGCATAGTGCCTAACCAGAAGTCTGGCGGTTCAAACCCACCAGCCACTCCTCGGAAGGAAAGTTGGGCAATCTACTTCTGTAGTGATACCGCCTTGGAAACCCAAGGAGCGGTCGCACATAACAACAACAACATTCTAATCACAGCACTTATTACACTTGCTTCCCCACTGAAGTCTGAACTCTTTAAAGGCAGAGTCTAGGTCACCAATGGGCACCTAACAATGGTTTCTGGAACATAGCTTGTATTCAAAAACAGTTGGCTGAGTGGAAGGATAGGTGAATTCAGCCCCTGATTGCATACCATTTCTAGAGATATCTTGCAGCTGAAATTAATCCTAGGAGAGGTAGGAGGTAGGGTTTTTTCTGTGGGATAGGTGATGAAGATTTGTTGAAGCTCTCACGAGTTGGAGTGCATTAAGAATTAGGCTCTCAGCATTACGAATCGATATCTCTGATATGATTATGAAGGATTGCCTGCAATGCTGCTGTATTAGCATCTGTTTGCCTGTATCATCAACCGATAAGGAGGAAAGATATAATTCCTACACCTTCCCACCCAATAAACAGTTGAGTTATTGGCTGTTACCCAAATTATTATAGTAATTAAGAATAGTAGATATATGAAGAATCGATTGAATGTTTGGGTCTGAGTATATGTATCAGAGCTAGAATTCTATGATAGACCATGTAACGAATAGTGCTATGGATATGAAAATTAGTAAGAAATAGGCAAATTTAAAGCTCATAGATAATTTGAAAGTTTAGATAGTTATTCAGTGTCAGTTAGAGACCTATGAGAGGCTGGCTCCCCCAGCCAGTGTCTGATAGGGTCTCCTTTTTGAGAGGAGGAAAAGGGAAACTCAGAGATCGGGGCAAGTTCAGAGCTGTCAATCCAGCTCAGCCCCTGCCTCTGCCTCAGGATGCCTTGTTCCTGAAAGAACCATCCCCTAATGACCTGGACTTCATGGCCATTTCCATCCCAGGCTTGCTGGCCACAGGGTAGAGAGAGTGGGCCAACAAGGAGAGGGAGGCCTGAGACCTCATAATGGTGGGGGTGTCCCAGAAGGCCAGGGGAATGACTGATTACTGTATAATCTTTCCAGGGGGGCTGGGAGGGAAGAGTTTGTAGCTACCTAGGGACCCCATCTGCTATGTCTGGTCCTTTGCCTGAGACAGTCCCCAAGACTTGTGGTAAGAAGGTGGAAGCAGGAAAAGAGCAGCTTTGACTATTTAACAACTTTATTGACAGAATTCACATACTGTACAATTCACCATACATTTTTATACTTTTAAAGTATAAAATTCCATGGTATTTATTATATTACAGAGCAGTCTATCCATCACCACAATTAATTTTAGAACATATTCTTTTTTTTTTTTTAATTGTGCTTTAGGTGCAAATTTACAGAGCAGAGTTTGTTTTACATTCATTATTTCATGTACATTTGGTTTCTCTTCCCAATTATCATCCCCACCCCTAACCCACTCTCCTCACTCCCTTCAATTTTAGAACATTTTCATTACCCTAAAAAGAAAGCACACATCCCTTAGCCATCACCTCCAGCCACAGGCAACCATTAATTGACTTTCAGTATCTACACCTTAGCCTATTCTGAATATTTCATACAAATAGAGTCATACAATATGTGGTTCTTTGTGACAGGCTTCTTTCACTTAGTATCTCATTTTTGAGGTTCAGAAAAAAGCAGCTTTACCCCATGAGAAGGGACAGAGAGAACTGGACCACCAGGCATAGTAGAAAGTTTCCACGTAGGACCTGGCTCTGCCATGTGACCTCTGGCCAGTCACTTCACTGGATCCATCCTAATCTAACTTTCCGTACCTCCCACAGCTAAATTTATGGCAGAGCTGCATGCACATCAAGGTTAGATGTTAGGAAGAATTTTCTATCCTTGAAGTTTCTCCTTTTGCAGGGCCTTGGAACACCAGAAGATGTGATACTATGCCTGAGGTGATCTTAGGATGGAATCTTTAGGAGTTAGAGACTTTGGGCCAGGCCAAGGATGCCAAGATTCCAAACACTAGAGGAGTAACTTTCTTTTTTATCTCTTCACCAGGGAAAAAGAAGAAGGACATCTGTGCTGACAGTGTGGCTCCAGAGACAGAGAATCCCATTGTGTAGAGACTGCCGTGAGAGAGGATACGAGGTGATGCCTGTATTATCAGAAGCCCCACTGCCCAGGCACATGATGCTCTGAAACATAGCTGGTGCCTGGAAACTCAGTAGTCCTCATAACTCCTGTGAGGCCCTCTCCCTGCCTCTTGGAATAGCCAGGGAAGCTGTCACTCAGGGAGGAGAGAAAGCACTGGCACAACCTTCCATATCCTTCCCCTCCCTCTCCCCACTTTGCATATCTGGGCTCTACTCTGGATAAGAACAGCCTAAGATGAATGCCCCTCAAAGACACTGGACATTTTCCAGGATCCTTAGGAACAAACCGAGCATTTGCTCCCCTGTCACTGTTTATCAAGTATTAACCAACTAGCGCCAGAGGCATGCCTCCAGCCTAGATTCTGTGTTCTAAAAGACAATAGACATTTGAACCAGCAGAGAAACTCTGAATCACTTATCTCCAGCTCCAGTCCCAGTCTCAGCCTCTGTTTGAGATTATGATGTTTCTTGGTTCCCAATGCTTTGTCATAAGAAAAGATAAAGGTGAGAGGTGGGAGACAGGAGTTACTCTTTCTGACCTCATGGACTTTAAGGTCATCTGAGTCCACAGCCCCTCAAAGGTGATTTGCAGTGTAGACAACCAAGGGATGTTTGGCATCCCATGATTGGAATGGATGACATTTTGTAGGCGACACTTTATTGACAGCCTCGCCATCTCTGTAGACCCTCATGCCTCTTGGAAGATCTAAGAGTGGGAGTTGAGGTTCTCCTAACTCTCTAGTGGAATAACCAGGAAAAGAGACTTTGAATTGGACCCATCCAACAGGAAGTTTCAGCACAACTTTCTTTCTGCCTGAGAGTAGGAGATTGAGTCAGGAAGAGTGAAGCAGAAGGAAATTTATGGAGGGAAAGGGTGCTGAGGCATGACAGAATCTGCTACACTCATTTTCAGATGCAAGTCAAGAAGACCCACCCAAGTTTAATAAGGGAAAAAGATTCCATTCAATGGAAGGGAGCTCTGGTGGAGTCGTTCCAAAGACATTTGACTGCTATCCAGAAGGCTGGTGGTTCAAACCCACTGGCCACTCCTTGGAAAGAAGACTGGGCAATCTACTTTCATAGAATTACTGCCTCAGAAACCCAAGGAGGGGTTGCTAGGAGCCAGAATCGACTTGATGGCAGTGAGTTTGGTTTGGCTTTTTGGTATTCACTAGAAAGAATGTCAAGGTCACTTTGAAAGAGGAGCATGTCGGATGGAAGCTATTATTGTGGACATCTTTTAAAAATACAATCTGTCATGGAATGATTCTATCTAGAAAATCTACGGGCTATTGTTATTCTGGAAAATTCTGATGAGCTAAATTTACATTTAGAGGTTAATAGCTAATAAAATTTGGGATTATTCCCTCCCAGGGGTAGTAGGATTTTTTTTCCCCCCTGGGACCTCAAATCTTAAAGAAAAATAGAGAGGAATGATACATTGAAGAAACAAGGTAGGTTGTGAAGTATTTTCCCAAGGCAGTTTCAATCACTCCACCCATGACGTCATTCCTGCCCAAGGGTCTTCCCTCTCCTCCCCACTTCCCAGAGGGCCACAATGTCTAGACAGTCACTTCATCTTGGACAAATGACCAGCACAACTGGCCTCATAAGTGCACACTGCCACTCCTCCACTTGATTGTTCCTGGATTTCCTTGCCTGCTGGCTCTGCTTGGGGATCCATATTGGTCACCTGGCTTTACCTGTCCTTTTCCCTTTCCTGCACCCACTTCTCTTCCATCACCTTCCCTTAAGTCCACCTGAACAGTGCACATGGCCACCCACCTGGCAGCTTGCATTGCCTTCACCTGTCACCTAGAGACAGTCCCCATACCTGGCCACTGAAGACATAAAACTGACCTCAGCCCCTAAAAATGATGTAAAAGGGAAAGTCCATATTTACCAACGAGCCATGGAGGTTATGCGGAGAAAGAAAACACAAAACCACACCACTTCCCCCTTTTTTTCATGTCCCACCTTAGTTCAGAGCAGCTTTAGAGCAAGTGAGACCCAGGCAACTCCTAACAACCTCACTTAGATAGTGGTTTTGTCCGAATCCATGCTGCTCAAATAAACAAACGTTCCTATCCCCAGTGACTCATTTGTCAATTAGTAAACTAATGAGCCCTCCACTGAAAAAATGAAAAGTGATTCCATGAAACCAAGTGTTGTGCTAATAAGCATGGAGATTTGAGCTTTAAAAGTCATACAACAGCAAATATTGATTGAATACCCAGCATGTGCTCAGTACAGTTCTAGGTACTGGGAAGCAGTAATAAAGCAAAGGACTTGTTTTCATGGAGTTTATATTCTAGGTAATATAAATAAACAAGTAAGTATGTGTCAAGTGTTGATAGGTTCTATGAAGAATAGGAAGGGCTTTTTCCATTCTCTAAATGATGGATTGGGAGGAACAGTACCATTTTAGATAAGGCAGTCACTCTCAGGTAAGGTGGCATTTGAACAGAGACCAAATGAAGTGAAGGGGCATGCCATGTAGTAAAGTTTTCTTTGTCATGGTCATTAGATCATAGTCAAGTAGGATGGGTCTGTATCTAATCATTTCTGACTTACAGAAAGAGCAGATCAGACACACAGATACGTGTGCATGCACACAATGGAAGATAGAGGCCATGTGAGGATTATCTACAAGTCAAGGAACCAAGGAACCCTGGGAATACCTACAAGGAAGGAATCAACATGGTCAAGACCCTGATTTGGACTTTTAGCCTCTAGAACCAAGAGAAAATAAATTTCGGTTTGATAAACCCACCTAATTGTGGCATTTCTATTACAGTGTGTTGTGTTGTTGTTATGTGCCGTCGAGTTGGACCCGACTCATAGCAACCCCTCCTTGGGTTTCCAAGGCAGTATCACTATGGAAGTAGATTGCCCCACTAGCTAACTATGACAGGAGGGGAAAGATCCGGGAAACAGCCTGGGTCCAGATCGTATGGGCCCTTGTGGTCTTCAGAACACCTTCTCCTTGGGAGAATGCTGGCAGGGAGAACTCCATGACTATCTATGTGTCACTTTGAGAATGTAGGCTTGGTTTCTCTTAGGATGACCTTGACACCATTGTTTCGCATGGGCTCATAATCAGACTAAAATCCTCTCAGGTCTGCTTTTCCCTGCATTCATTTTGTTTTCTTTGAGCAATAGTCTTTACACCTGTCTTTTTGCACAAAGGACAAATACAAGAGCTTCTAGGGGGAAAAAAAGCCATGTGACATGACATCAGAAAGAATGAAGATGAGGTATAGCAAGAGAGAAAGGTTACAGACGACTTTTTTCCCACCCCAAAAAACTGCTGCAAACATTAGTGACAGTTCTGGCAAATCTTCCTTCCATGTTTATTAAAAACTAGCACCTATTCAGTTAATTAGTACTTACTGGTCCTTCGAGGTAAGCATCATCTGCTTCCAAATGTGACTCTATGACTCCTTGCATCTGTTCTGCATGCAGCCTGAAGGAAGGGCCTCTAAAACTGCAAAACACAACCTTCTCTGATCCCCAGAAAGTTTTAGTGGTTGCCTCCCCTGGGGCTGTGCACTAATCAAGATGGGTCTGGCCTCTCTCAGCCAGAAGGGGCAGGCTGAGCACATGGGTAATCAGTTAGAATAACCCACTACATGACCAGCCTGGGCCCAGTTCTGGAGCCACCATTCCAAGGAGACACTGGAACGCTTGAGTGTCCAGAAAAGAATGACCAGCATGATGAAAAATCTGGAAATTCTATCATATGATTTATGATTAAAGAAACTGGACATGTTTTAAAACAAAAAATTCAGAGAGGCATAGGTCCTGAAAAATGTGAAGGAGTAGCATATATTGAAGCTGTCACTGAGAGAGTCATTTAAAAAATTGAATTGTAGAACAGGAAGGAGACTTTGTGGTTACTTGGTTCCAGTTTTTCAGATCCCAGGTATATAACTAGGACACAAAGAGATTGTTACTTCCCCAATTCATTGCCATCAAGTCAATTCTGACTTGGCAGCACCCTGTGTTGCAGAATAGAACTGTCAATAGGGTTTACTTCCCTGAAATAACCTAATTAATCCATGGCAGAGTCAGTATTTGACTTAGGTCATCTAGATCAGTCCAGTCCCTCACACTATACCATGCTTCTAGGGAAGAACTTCCTAACTAATGGAGAAATCCAAATAGGAAGTGAGGTGTTTCAATGAATGTGTTTAAGAAAAACCATCTCAGAGCAATATTATAGATGAGAGACTGCTCATATTAGGTGGAAGTTCTCATTAGCCTAGAAATGACAAATACATGGCACAAATATCCAGACTTCCACCCTCCAGGACCATGTCAGACATGGCTAATTACTTATGACACACTTTCCCCGCTGAGTCCAGATGTCGCACAATGCTCAAGTTGCCCATCCAATCTATTGAATTTGAAAGTCAAGATGAATCCTATTTTTCATTCTTGCCCTAGATAATCCAGAAGATCCTTCCAACATTAAGAAATTGAAATTAAATTAAGTAACGAGTGGATGAATCAACTATGGAACAAAAGAGGCCAAAGAAAATTCTGCTAGTGAGTCAAAAGGGGGAAACAAGCCACGCTTCCTATAAAGAAGATTGATTCTAGCTTCCTTTCTTCTGTCATTGTTCTCAGTGTTGCTCAGAAATGTATCAGAACTGGAAAGGGGGAGATATTGATGGGAAGTAGTAATACCATAAGGAGCTCTGGTGGCATAGTGGGTAAGGCATTTATTTGGCTGCTAACCAGGAGGTTAGCAATCAACTTCTGTAAACCCAATGGGAGTCACTATGAGTCAGAATCTACTTGTTGGTAGTGGGTTAGTAATACCATAAGGATCCCTGGGGTGCAACAGTTAAGTGTTTGACAATCCAAACCCACCAATGGTTCAGCAGGAGAAAAGACCTGGAGATCTGTTCCCATAAAGATTAACCATAAAAAGCAAACTCACTGCTATTAAGTCAATTCTGACT